CACCTACAGGCCCCCAAAAACCTATAACCAGCCCTTCTGCCCCCCACCAATGAAAACCATTTCTTTTACTGCTTCAGCATATGTTTTCAATTTTCCTCATAGCCTTTCACACTTGTATCTGACAGTATCATTTATTCCCAAGACAATGGAGTTATTGGCTGTGCTGTGCAGACAGCTCGCACTAATCTTGTCCCTAGTTAATGTAGTGCAATTCACCAAACAGGTGTCACTTGGAGGGGTTACATATGTGTGGCTTGTTCCTTCTGCACGCTGACATGCCAAAGAAGTAACAGACCAACAGGAGCACAAGCCACAGACCACACAACAACTTATGGGGCAGCCTGCTTTAAGAGTTCAGGAACCCTGCCAGAGGGCAAAGTAAAGGGAGAATGGTGCTCCAAAGCATTACAACTGCTTGGGGAAGTGGAGGGAATCACAGACTTAGAGCAAGCTGGAGATGCAGAGCTGAGTGAAAGCAAGACAGGCTGCGCTTCAGGGTGGCCTATTCTTTGGAGCTGAAGATGGAAAAGAACTGAAGACCTTACAAGGAGGTGGTTTTGTTGTTAGGCAGCAGACCAACCTGTTTCTCAAATGATCCCACCAAGGAATTCTTATGAATTCCTAAGGGCAACAAGCTAGACTGTCCTGAGCACTTCTTTAACACATGAAAAACTTATGCTGGTTCTCCTTCTGTCCCCTCTCTTTACCATAAGCAGTTGCCGAGGTATGCTTGTCCGTAGCTCCGTATCTTCCTTTGCTGTATCAAACACGAGCCCAGGAATCACATCTAACAAGAAGTCTCCCCAAGAACTGGAGGGCAGAAAGAAACAGAAAGGACTGAATCAATCACTTCGATATCAAGCTCAGACAGAAGCTGTTCCCAGAAGGTGCTTACAGTGAACTCAGACAGGAATTTCACTGACTAGGCTGCGGACAGACCAAACAATTATGCTCATGGGAAAACATCAGCTGATTTACCGTAATTGTTTCACATGTCTGCTCCTATCCCATAAGTGAAAGCTAAATTAAGATGGATTACTCCTTAATGAAACTCCTAAATTATTGTGGTTTAGTTTCTGCTTATTACAAAGAAGCATGAAGACATTAAACAGTTACAACTGATCAACTCAAAGTACAACCACTTCCTTCCCACTGCTTTATGAATTGGTAGTATTGTTTCATGTGTTCATGATAGCTCCACAGCTAATGTGGATTCCAAACCTGAACTTAAAGCAACATTCTAGGTCATGAACAAACAGTACAGCAATTCCTCCTCAGCAGGCCTACTGTCTGAGACTTTACAAGTAAATCCACCACCCCCTAAGAGAATCTACTATAGATTCCAATGGGAGGATTGTGGCTACACAATTTATGTAATGGGGAATTACTCTTGTCCTTTCCCTCTAGCTTGCTCCTATGGCCTTTGGGCTACTGGCAAGTGAGACCAGAGGGTTTGGGCCTGCACGTAGGATGCCTGCCATAGATTTAGAGGTACCTGAAGCCCCAGGCTGAAGAATCTGGGAGGTATGATACTTGGCAGTGGTAGTACCACACAGACCTAAATAATTGAGCTTTGCTCAGTCAATGAAATTTGGAACCAATTTGGCTGATTTGGCCTGAGGCACAAAATTAAAAAATAAAGGTGCCCATCAGTCTGTTTGCCCAATATGGGTCATGTATTTTACAGTCATGCTCAGTAATGGCTGCATCTAAGCAACACAATAGCTAGTTTCCATGACTGAGCACACGCTGCTTTTAGCAAACATTTAATGATAGACAATGCATCTAATGAGGTTCCCTTATATCCAAATGCAAGACAAGAAGCTTTTTTCCTCCCATGCCGATTGGGGGGTGGGAACCTTATCACAGTGGTTCTCAAACTTTTTTTTTTCGCAGACCACTTGAAAATTGCTGAGGGTCCTGGCAGACCACTTAATAAACTTTTTTTTTGTTCTACAAATCAAAGCACTACTAATATTTTAATAGTCTTACAAGTATAGATATTCTCAACTGTTCTGCAATCTTTCTGCAGACCACCTGAATGGAGCTCATGGACCACAGTTTGAGAACCTCTGCCTTATCATATATTCAAATAAATATGGTGCATCTGGACTAGGACTCAGGTGGGGCTAGCAAAAATGGGACTGGAACAGAGAAGAGATCAACAGATGCAGAAGGGGGCTGTGTTATGATTTTATAGGCAACTTTATCAATGTGAAGAAAAAAAAAACATTCTAAGGCTAGAAAATACAAAAATAAGATGACAGTAAAAGAAATTAGATGATTTGTATGACGCACACTTAAAACAAAAACAGCACACACCAGGGTCTGTATTTAGATGTTGGAATAAGTACTCCTTGGGTATGCATATATTACTTGAAGAACACAGATTTCATGCCACATTATGCTGCCTACATAATCAGTCTCTTCCCCCATCCCCTGCTTCTTCATGTGGTCAATAAAAAGCAGCACTAGATGGACAAACTAAAATTTAAAATAAATGTCCCATTTGTTCCACTGCCCTGAACCAAGGAAAACAAGGCTCAGAAGACATTCCTCTCATGAAGCAGAGGAACAAAACCAAGCCACCACTATCACATGTATCAAAAGGACACCTTTCAATTTCCAAAAAGGAAACAGATCGTCCTGTGCATTGTTAACATGGTCAGCCACAATCTCATCATTGTGCTTTACCTATAAGCACAAGCAATAGAAAGCAGCAGCTGTCCACAAAATTGCTGCAAGAAGGGGAAAAATGTTCCCACCTCATGCAGCCTGTGTAGATGTAACATCATACCTTTCAGTACCCTTAAAGCCTTTTCCTGGTTCTCAGACTGCCACCATTATCAGAATACTCTCCTTGACAGTGCTGCTTCTCTAGCGCCTTGCCTTAAGGAAATTATGTTCACTCAACAAAAGCTTTTCAGGCCCTCATCAACTGTGTTCTGGGGAACTGATACAAGACAGAAAGCAGGGTAGATTTGTACCTTATAAACTAAATCAGAGATGCACAGCACCGGCTTCTGTAAGCAGCAGGCTTACTTTCAGAGCTTCGTGCAGTCCCTTCACATCATCTGATGAAGTAAGCCTACTGCTTATGAAAGCTTATGCTATACATCTCTGATGTAGTCTATAACAGTGGTCTCCAAAGAGGAGTGGGCGCACCCCAGGGGGTGCGCAAGACAATCCACTGGGGTGCAGGAAGAAAATATTAGAACTTCTATTTATATGTATATTTATATAAATATACATATACTGGGGGTACGTGCTCAAAAATTTTTTACTGATAGGGGAGTGCGAATATAAATATACATACTGATAGGGGTGCACGATCAAAAAAGTTTGGAGACCACTGGTTTATAAGATGCCAAATGACCATGCCTTCTGTTGGACTTCAGATTGACAGGGCAACCTCAGGCAATCCTGTGTAAAGCCATGTTTTCTCCAGTGCTGACCAACAGTATTTGAGCCTGGTTTGGGCAATTCCTATTCTGATCACACAAAAAGATTCCCTTGAATGGATTCACAGTACAGCACCCAGCTCCCAAAAAAATCTCTACCGTGAAAAGACAGAGGGTGTTGGCTGAAGAAAACACTGTCACAAGCTATTCTGGGGCATGAACGTGTAACCTATCTGGTGATATGATTTAGCTGCCCATGTGCGCATTCTTTCCCTGCAGAGTATGGTCTCAGCGGAAGTGGGACAAGCTACTTCACATCCACTGCAAGTAAAAGCATGCGCACAAGCAGTGAATACAGAGCAGCTGAAATGCAATGAGTCTGTAATCTAGTATTTTAGAGTAATCTGTTTGCATGCCTAAACCCAAAGCAATTTCTGCTCCACTGAAGCAGGTGAAATACCGCATCTCCATTAAAATCCAGACAGATACTTTGGGATGACCTGGAAACAGTTCTTGGAACATTAACTCCCTTTAGCCATCACCAACCCTGAATCCCACTGTAAAGTTAAATCAGCAAAGACTCTCCCAGTGTTTGGTAGAGACGGAGCCCCTTTCTTTGAGCTGTTTCATCCTAACTTTGAGGATATGGACCAATTTCCAGGAGTAGGAAATCTGACACCTGGTCATTTAAAGGTGGTTACCAGGAGATCAAGTACAGAGGTTGCTGTTCTGGGCTTCAGGTTTCCCAACAAGTAGGGGACGTGACATACAAGGACGTTTGTTGTCTGAACTGGGTCTAGTCATATCTGGCCACAATTTGCTGCCAGTGGAAACCCTTGCTGCATCCAACTTCTAACCCAGTGATTCTCAACCTTTTTAGACTCAAGGTGCCTCTCATCAGACTTGAGGCATTACTTTTGTGAACTGACTGGCACCCCATTTCCAAAGCTAGTTAATCTATTATGGTGCTTACTCTCCTTGCAGAGGACCAGGCAATGCGGACAGGGAAGCATCCAGGCAGGGACAATAAGTCTGAGCCTTAGCTTATCTACTTACCTCCTCATATATGGTTTATCTTTTCCCACCTCAGCAACACCCTTCAAAGGATCTCAGAGAACTCAAGACTGCCCTGGCACCCTGGCTGAGAATCACTGTCACTTCAAGAGTCAGTGGCTGAAAGCCAGTTGGGAAGAAACAGACCTCTCCTGGGGTGGAAAGGAAACCATAGGAAGAAAGTTTAGGCAATAATGCGGACAGAGAAATTAATTTCTGGGAAGCAGATGGAGGTTGTAGTAGAGGATTCTTGTCAAAGAAGGTTTTACAGTAAGTGAGACAGCAAGGATTGGTCTGGGTCACTACCAGAGGCAGGCAAGGAGAAGAGGCTGAGGTGCAAGGAGTGGTGATGGATTCATCCCTATGTGCTCAGAAATCCTTCTTTGGGTTAAGAGATAAGCCATAACCTCATCCCTTCATAAAAGGTTGTAAAACACAACTGTAAATCTGCATGTCACCTTATTTTCCATCTTGATTCTCCAGCTGGTAAACAATAATTGCAAAGTTCAGCAATACAGTTTTAAAAAAAGCTTGTTTCCTGTTTTCATGTGTCAATTAATTAACTATTCCATCTCCAATTTTTATTACTCCAACTGCCTTAGATTTCATTAATCACTGCTGCACCTTTACAGTATCTATCATCTACTGAAAGATTTCAAAACAGTAAACCACACAATACTTTGCAGGGAAGGCAGTGTGTGCTGTCCTTTTAACACAGTTGCAAACACTGCGGCCCAAAGGCTAAAGCTATTTGCCTAAGGTCAAAAAGTGAGCGCACTAACTGGACCAGGAAGAGAACCCAATAAACCTAACTGCAAGGCCTTTGCCCTAAAGTAAGGGGGTCAAACATATGGTCTGCAGGCCTGATCCAGCCTCACGGGGTTTTTTCCAGCTGGACAATTTCACTTTTGGATCAGACCAGTGGGGACTTCTCACCACAGTTTCCAGAGCCACTGTGCCAGCACAGCTAGTACCCAGGGAGTTAACATCATCCCCACGCCTTTACCTTCCAGCAAATTTCCAAGCCTCATTTGACCTGCAAATCATAGAAAATGAGGGTGGGAAGGGACCTCAGGAGGCCATCTAGTCCAACCCCCTGCTCAACGCAGGACCAGCTCCAACTAGATCATCCCAGCCAAAGCTTTGTCTAGCTGAGTCTTAAAAACCTCCAAGGATGAAGATTCCACCACCTCTCTGGGTAACTTGCTCCAGTGTTTACTACCCTCCATGTAAGAAAATTCTTCCTCACCTATAATCTCAACTTTACTCACTGCAAGTTGAGATGGTTGCTGTTTGTTGTGTCAACCATCACCACTGAGAACAGTCTAGCTCCATCCTCTTTGAAACCATCCTTCAGGTAGTTGAAGGCTTATATTAAATCCCCTCTCAGTTTTCTCTTCTCCAGACTAAATAAGCCCAGTTCCCCCAGCTGTTCCTCATACATCATATGCTCCAGCCCCCTAACCATTTTCATTGCACTCCACTGGATTCTCTCCAAACTGGACACAGTACTCCAGATGTGGCCTCCCAAAGCTGAACAGAGGGGAAGAATCACTTCTCTCAATCTGCTGGCAACGCTCCTACTAATGCAGCCAAGTATGCTGTATAGCCTTCTCTTCAGCAAGGGCACAAATCAGTAGCAGGCCAAGGAGCACAGGTGATGTTAACCCCCACATGGTGGCTGTGTCAATACAGCAGCACTAGCAGCTGTAGCATGACACCCCGCAGTCCAGATCTCACCCAATGCATTTGAATTTGACATCCGTGCTTTAAAAAACAGTGCTGCTTCTCTGACCTGTATTCCAGGTCATCTTTTGCATTTCATAGTATCATAGTGCTTAGGGTCAGAAGGGACCTAAACAGATCATCAGGTCCAACCCCCTGCCCCAGGCAGGAACGGGTGCCAAGGTCACATCACCCAAGCCAAATATCTGTCCAGCTTCCTCTTGAAGACCCCCAAGGTAGGAGAGAGCAGCGCCTCACTTGGGAGCCCATTCCAGAGCCTGGCAGCCCTAACCGTGAAGCAATGTCTCCTGATGTCCTACCTGAACCTTATCTCTAGCAATTTATGGCTGTTATTCCTAGTAACCCCGCGTGGTGCTCGAGGGAACAAAGCCTCACCCAATTTCTGCTGGTCCCCCTGCTGAGTTTGTAAACAGCCACCAGATCTCCTCTGAGCTTTCTCTTGTGGAGGCTGAGTAGGTTCAGGCCCTTTAGCCGCTCTTCATAGGGCCTGCCCTGTTGTCCCTTGACCATGCAAATGGACCTCCTCTGAACCCTCTCAATGCTAGCCACATCCCTCTTGAAGTGCAGTGCCCAGAACTGGACGCAGTACTCCAACTGCGGCCTGACCAATGCTGCTTAGAGGGGAAGGATCACCTCCCTGGACCTGTCTGTGATGCATCTGTCGATGCACGACAAGGTGCGGTTAGCCTTACTGACCGCTTCCTCGCATTGGCGGCTCATGTTCAACCTGGAGTCAATAGTGACTCCAAGATCCCTTTCTGCCACCGTGTTGACAAATAGGGTATTCCCCAGCCTATAGGTGTGTTGCTGGTTCCTTCTCCCTAGATGCAGTACCCTGTACTTGTCTGCGTTGAATTCCCTCCTATTCCCATCCCCCCACCTCAGTAACCCGGAAAGGTCTAGCTGGATTCTGTCCCTCCCCTCCAGCGTGCCCACCTCACCCCACAACTTGGTGTCGTCAGTGAATTTGGACAGCATGCTTTCCACCCACACATCCTGATCTGGGAGACTCCACTGCCTACATACCTCCAGGTCAAAAATGACTTATCTACCATCCCTCTCTGGGTGTGACCATCTAGCCAATTTGCGACCGATCTGACTGTGTAGGCATCAATGCCGCAGTCACCTAGTTTTTTTGAGAGAATGTAGTGGAAAACTGTGTCAAAGGCCTTCTTAAAGTTCAGGAAGGTGACATCCACCCCAACACCCTCCTCCAGGGACTTTGTGACCTGATCATAAAAAGAAATCAGGTTATTCAGGCAGGAATTGCCCTCAACAAACCCACGTTGGTTGCCCCTGAGCATTACCTCCCCTGCTGAGCCCTTGTAGATGTGCTCCTTGATAATTTTCTCAAAGGTCTTCCCAAGGACAGAGGTAAGACTGACTGGCCTATAATTGCCCGGGTCCTCCTTTTTCCCCTTCTTGTAAATGTGGACCACACCAGCCCTTGTCCAATCCTCTGGTACCTGGCCAGTGCCCCACGAGCACTCAGAGCTGTGCCAGGGGCCCTGCTATGACCCGTGCCAATTGCCTCAGCACCCTCAGGTGAAGAGCATCTGGACCTACTGATTTAAACACATCCAGCCCCTCCAAAAGTTCCCTAACTAGATCATCCCTGACCCTAGGCATGGCGATGCCTGCCCTGGGTCCATCCACAATTCTAGTGGAGGACATGTGCTGGTCCCTGTTCAGGAATATGGAGACAATATGGAGACATTTATCCACACACAGGCCCAAACTGCTGCCAAAGAAGCAATGCTATAAAAATGGTAAGGAAAAAATTACTTGTTTTGGTAGGTGCTGATGGTCACATGAGTTGAATAAGAAACACCAGGAGGAGTATCGGCTTGGTGGATAGTCCCTCTTGGAAAGTAGAGCAAGTCACCTGGCTGAGGGAGAAGAAAAAGAGGAAAGCAGAATGGCATATTTAGATCTCTTTGTACTTAGCCTACTGAGGTATGAGCTAAACAAAGAAAATATTCCCCAGGCAGAAACATCGACAGCAGACTAAAAAATCCTGCAATGCCATACAGCCATGCTGCGATGGGTCTCATATGGGACAGAGGCATAAAAAACCAAAAGCTGAAATAACATTTACTATTATTTGTAAATTTAAAGTGAGCTCTGATGTTACAACATGCATATAAAACTAACCATGCATGCATGAAATGGAGAAGCATTCATAATCAGCTTGCAGATGGAGTGAGCCAGTGAAAAAGCAAAAAGCACAGCCTAGTGACATCCAAATTCAACCTCATCTTCCTAAGAAGAAAGAAGGGGAAGCCTTGTTAAGGTAGTAAGAGCTGTTTGTGCTATATGCTAATTTGTTTGTAAACTTCACTTAAAGTCTTCTAGTTAATTTGTTTATTTAAGAAAAAAAAACATTAACACACAGGGAAAAAACCTGTCTTTTGCCACCCACTGAAATAAGACTTCTACAAAAGTGAGCAAATGCTTTTTAAAACTGATGCAATTTAGGAGGGGAGAGACAGACAGAGGAAAATAGGAGGAGAGAACAGAGACAAAACCAGACCAAAGACTACAACTATGGAAAAACCTCCGCTACAGAAAAAAACAAACAAACAAAAAAAACCCACATTTTAGCCCCAGAACAGCTCTGCCACCCCAACTGACAAGCTATAGTTTGCAAGATCAAGCCAAGTACAAAGCACTGCCAAGGATGGAATTGACTACATTACTGGACATGCAAGTCTATTTTAACATCTGGGTTGTTTTACAGCTTCTCCCAGTTATCACTATATCTGGACAGCACAGTCCAAGGCTAGGGTCATAAGATAGTAAATATGATTTTTTTAAATATTTTATTTGCCCAACTCAAACCATTTCTAAGCCTGTCAATCTGATTAAACCCAGAAATATGTTAAGCAAACACTCTACAAATATCTACTTCAAGTCATTTAATTAAAGGCCTCTCCAATTACTGAACTTTACAGAACTGAACTCCCTCTCTTCCGCTCATCCATTTTTAATGAGCTGTGGTTTGTCAAAAGTAAGCCACATAAGTTTTACTCACTTTTAAAACAAGCTTTCTTCTGCCATTAATCAACTAACCTAACTATCTACCATGATTAAAAAAGTTCTGGCTATTTATGTGGGGAGTTGTTAACTTTTGTTCCACTCACCTAGACAGCAGTACCACTGACACACATAGACCTAATCACTGATAACTTTGAAATATGTTGGATTTTGTTGTTTGTTTTTTAAGACATACACCTCCTAAATCTTTATCCATGGTGAAATCATGAAACTTCTATCATGATGAAGAACAATTAATAATTTGTCCCCCAACCCAAATTTCTCCAGGATAAAAACGTCCTGCTATCCAACCCCACATGGAGAAGAAAGGGATCTGTTTAGTAGGAAGCTTACACTGTCACATGTCAGAGAAGATCTATGCTATAAGGACCAAGTCCTTGTGAGCATTACTCACTCGAGAGTACCATGAACTTCAAGAAACTATTTTTCTTGAGCTAAGCAAGCAGGATTTGAACCAGCTTATATGCATGTGCAGTATTAAATCAAGGACCAGTAAAATAAACAGACAACCACTGCATTTTCAAACTTTGCCTGTGACAATCTGGGAACAGGTGTCATGGACTTCTGTCAAAGGGTAGAGTCCCCTGGCGTTTTCATGACTTCTAAATAGGAGGAATAAATCCGACTATGGAAAGGCTGGATAAGCAGTGTTAGTTATATTAGCTACTGGCTAATTCCCACAGAGTTGGGCAAAATAGCAAAGCAGCTGTTACAGTTCCCTGATGGAGAGAGAATCAAGTTCCACAAATACATGCTAAGATTGGAAATTTAGGTGCCAAGTGGCATCAAAACATCACCACCAGCTTCCCACCACCAGCCTCTATTGTTTCTGGAAGAACAGAAAAGGGACAACGACACGGTACAACCTCTCACTGGTCCACAGTCTGGACTACACATGAAGGACAGGCAGCAATGCAAAGAGAGAGAAAGGGGAAAAAAAAAGTCTTATTTATGATTTTTTTTTTAATCCTTGAAAGAAGTTTTGGAGCCGATGCCAAGCTGCACTTCCCTGCTAGACACACTTCACAAAACAAATGCAGCATGGTAGAGGCTGTTCAGAAAGAGATAGAACATAGGAAATGGAAGGCACCAAACACTCAAATAAAAGCCTGCATTTGAAAACAAATGGAGTTATTTGTTAACCCATTCATAGAGCCAGGCTTATATTCCACTAATGGCCACATTGAAGTCAATGGAATTATTCATGGAGTACACTACTATTCAACAAGATGGAATGTATTGGCATGTGGCCTACAACATATCACAAACGAGAAGAGAGATAGCTATCAGTACTACACTTGATCCGAGCCTTTGAGATGCCAAGAAGTTACCCAGTAAAAGTCAAACCTTACAAGCTGTCAGAATACAGATCTTCTACTGTTAGAACTGATTCAGGCTTTAACAGTCATAAGATACTTGTGTCAAAGCTGGTTTGATTTGAACCCTTACAAAAAAATCTAGATATTTTGCAGAATTAGGCATTAGGATAGAGAAGCTGATGAATTCTAGAATAAGACCAATTTACTTGGTGGGTAAATAACACACATTTGAAGTACAGACCCATGACAGAGAGGAAAGTGAGTACCAAGAAACCTGTTGTTAAATTATTTGCATTTACAAGCCCTTCATGAGACTTTTATACTTACAGAAGCAGTCTCCCAAATAAAGTTGGGATAAAACCCTGGAAGTCAGCAACATTTACTGCACATGGGGGTAAGATGACCTATACAGAACACTGTGGGATTACACACCATGGGTTGAAGATAGCTGCATTACTCATTGTTTTTAAAATCCAGGCCAATGGGTCCAGTTGTCTAGAAGGCTCCTCCCCACACTACGTTGCCAATACTTTATTTCTACCTATAAACTTTGAGCAAAGACTGGACTACAGGGTGCCTACAGAAGCTTAGGGGCCACACTCTAATTCA